GCCCGGCCTATGTGATCTGTGTAACCACTCACAACAAATCACTTGACAATTGTAAACAATGAATGGCTTTTGATTCATGCTATTCAATATGTACAATTGTGTTGCTAGTTGTGATTGGTCACTTGGTACGGACAGAGCCAATCACAGCCAATCTGTACCATGTGATTAGCTGTTGCCAATCACAGCTAATCTCAACAATACACACTGAATGAACATGAGAGCGCTCATGGCACATTATAATCGCCCTGCCGGCAGAGGAGGGGAGGGAGCAGCATCCAGAGTAGCTCCAGAGACTGGAAAGTGTGTGTATAGATGAATGCCACTACATCACTGAACTACTCGTGGACGCCCCCAACTTTTCAGTAGATGATATCAGACAGGTGTGTGAAGGCTGGCACTGTGTGGAAGCAATCGGCGGCAGCGCTGCTGCCTGAATGCTTTCACCTGACAGGTGAGCTCTGCTGCTTACCCAGTCAACAAAAACTACCTGCCCAGCGTCCGGAACTACATGTCGCGGGTGATAGAAATTCAACATCCCTGAATTAAAAAAACTGAAGAGAATTTTTTTCGTACTGTCACCAGTCAATGTCCATGATCATCACCGCACCAGTTATGAGAACGATGTACAACTGATGACAGCATGTGAAAAAAAAAAATCGACAAATTACTTTAAAAAACTTCACATGCCTCTTACTAAATAACTTAGACTGCTTTCCAAAAAGGGGTAATTTGGAAGATATCTGTGCTGTCCTGATTTTTTTGGGCCTCATGAAAAGATAGGCCTTCAGTACATCAGGGTTGATCGATTTTTCAGAAATATACTATAGTTTATGGACTTTTTTTTTTACGCAAAGTTGCCATTTAAATTATTTCTCACACAAGCCATGGGTATATGTGGAATTACACACCAAAATACATTCTGCTACTGCTACCGAGTATGGGAATACCACGCTTGAGACTTCTTGGGAGCCTAGCCACATACAGGAGCCTGAAATCCAATGACCACTTTGAAAGCTTGAAGGTGTGTAACTTCCTTATTTCACTTCCTCACTACCTATCACAGTTTCGGAGGCCCCCCCAAAAAAAATAAAAAAAAAAACCCTATTTGGAAAGTAGACACCCCAAGGAATTTAAAAAGCATTGTGAGTATTTTGCAGATCTCATTTTTTCTCACAAGGTTTTGAAATCTAAAGAAAAAATGTTTGTTTTCTTCATTTTCCAAAAACTTGTGGCAACAAACGAGATCTGCAAAATACTCCCCATGCTTTTTATCATATTTCTTGGGGTGTCTACTTTCTAAAAAGGGGTCATTTGGGGGGTTTGGTGCTATCGTGGCATTTCAGAGCCTCAAACTGTGATAGGTAGTCAGGAAGTATAATGAGGAAATAAAGCCCTTTAAAAGCCTGAATGTGTCTATTGGATTTTGGGGTCCTGTACTTTGCTAGGTTGCCAAAAAGTCTCTCTTGCATTTGGTACCCCCATACTCGGGAGAAGTAGCAGAATGTATTCTGGGGAGTAATTCTACATATAATCATGGCATGTGTGAGCAATAAATCATTTAAATGACAATTTTGTGTTGACTAAAAAAAAAAAAAAAAAAAAAAAAACAATTTTTTTTTTTCCAAAATCTTGTGGTTAAAAAAAAATAAAATAAATTCTATTGACTCAATATGCCTCTCAGCAAATAGTTTGGGGTGTCTACTTTCCAGAAAGGGGTCTTTTTAGGGTGTGGGGGCATTTTTTTTTCCCCCAGCATTAGAAGTTTTTATGCCACACATCATTCACTCTTCTAACCACCTGAAGACCAAGCCTTTTCTGACACTTTGTTCACATGAAACAAAATCAGTATTTTTTTGCTAGGAAATTACTTTGAACTCCCAAACATTTATTTATATATATATATATATTCTTTTAAAGCAGGCACCCTAGTGAATAAAATGGTGAGTGCTGCAATTTATGTCGCATAGTACTCGCACAGCGTTTTTTTTTTTTTTCTTTTTTATATCCATAGGCAACGCTTTAAAAGCCTTCACAAGCTACCATTTTAGATTTACAGAGTAGGTCTAGTGCTAGAATTACTGCCCTTGATCTGCCGTTCATGGCGATACCTCACATGTATGGTGCAACCACTGTTTACATACTGGCACAGGATCAACGTGCGTGTGTGTGGGGGGGGGGGGGGGGGGGGGGGGGGAGGATGCTTTGTTATTTTGATTTTTTTTTTTATTATTTTTACACTGTCCCTTTTTTCATTCTTTTTTTTTTTTATCACTTTTTAATGCTATCACAGGTAATGCAAATATCCCCTATAACTTCAATGGGCATTGTCATATATTCTTTTTTGAGAAATCTGTGTCTATCAGACTCTAGATATCTCCTCTGCCCTTACATTATCTAATCTCACCAAGATCGGTGTGATCAGATGCTTTCCCAATTTACAAGTGGCGCCGTTTATATCCTGCGATACTGAAGTGATGAAATGCTTGTAGCTTCCGGTCTCTTAGACTATAGAGATGATTGGCACTCTTCCAGTCTCCAGTCAGCTCTATTGTCAGCTGGCATAAACACCGGCTGCATTCTCAGGTTCCCCTGATGGCACGGGACTGCCCGAGAAGGCCGTGGAAGGCAGCGGGGGAGGGGGGACTCTTCTCCCACTGCTTTTAAAAGCAATCCTGCAGCTAATTAGACACTAGGATTGCTTTTACATGAAAACCGATTTCTGGCTGAAAAAAAAAAAATACCAGGATGATGTCTGCAGCTCAAAGTCCAGTAATGTACCAGCACGTCGCTGGGCCTTGTTGGGTATATGTGTTATGTTCTTCCCTTTTTTTTTTTTTTTTTTTTTTGTATGCAGTCTGTGGGCTGAATGAAAAACAGAAGTCTCTGCCAGAAATGGTGGCGGGCACACATTAGGTCGCACAGTGCCACATGCGCCAATTCCAAGATTGTACAAATGTCTAGTGGCACGCTTAAATAAAAATTGTCCACGCATAAGTGGTACCCGATATGGATGGATGAAACTAAGTCCCAAACTATCTTGCCACTGCTCCCCATGTAGTTTGCACATCCGGGGGGGCTCCACGTGACTATCTTTTCCCTCATAAATCCAAAACTTGTATGTATAGCTTGTTGCCCTCTCACAGGTCTTCTACATCTTGACCCCATATCTGGCACGCTTGCTGGGAAGAAATTGTCTGAATGTAAGGCGGCCAGAAAAATTAATGAGAGACCTCATCAACGCTGATATTTTGCTGGGGAGTATAGACATCTGCAAATTTTTGGTTAAGGTGATTTGCGAGGAGCCGAATTTTGTGGAGCCGGTCAAATTCCAGGTCACCCTGAGGATGACAGTGTATTGTTGTTGAAATGCATAAAACACATTATACACTCGTATCTATGCCTGGTCATGGCACCAGAGAACACTTTAAATTGGGAAACCGTAATGAGTTTCCATGCGAATGGTCTGGCAAGGTTTGAATTTGGTTTGGCGGCGATAATTGTTGTGCATATAAATTGCTTTGATCCGCAATCAATGCATACAGATATTCCGTGAAAAACGGCTCCAAAAAATCCAAGGGGAGTAGTTGAATGTGCTGTGCGGTTTTTTTCATTTTTTTGCTATTAAAAAAAAAAGTTTTGAGGGAAAAAAAAAAAACAATATTTTGGACTTTTTACTATTAAACATGTCCAGTAAAAAAATGTAAACAAATTTCGGCCTGAATTTAGGCCAAAATGTATTCTGTGACATGTCTTTGCTAAAAAAAAAAAAATCCCAATACGTGTAAATTGGTTTACGTGAAAGTTATAGTGTTTACAAATGAAATAGATACTGGTATTTTTTTTTGTAATACTAATAATGGCGGCGATCAGCGGCACTGCGGCGGGCATTCCTACACTGGGGGGAACAGACTTGATGTCACTGACATCCCCAGTGACACCAATACAGTGATCAGTGCTAAAAAACAAAAACAAAACACTGACACTGTACTAATGGCACTGGGGAGGATGAGGTGAACAATGAAGGGCGATCAAAGGGTTAACTGTGTAGGGAGTGTTTTTACTAGGCGGCGGGGGTGTGTGCTTCATTCTAAGCGCACTGATCGGGATGGCTGTGCTCAGCCATCCCGAGCATTGTGCCCAAACTTGACAGGGAGGAGGCTGTCGGTAAACAATGCAGCCCTCCTCCCTGTTGGTGATCGCCGGTTATCACAAACCTCCCTGCGGCAGTAAACCTATGGGTTGTCCTAAAGCGGTTAAGAAAAGCTGGTAAAAGCCAGTAGAGAATGATTTAGTCCTTAACTACAGATCCTATCATGAACTTGTGCTTTGTATGGCTTAGCCACAGGTTCACTTTAAAGTGGTCTCTCACAGATACGCTTACTTGCCATCCTTTCTCTCCTCTAATCTGTTTGCAGTCAGAAGCAAAGAAGAATACTGCATGCATCTGGCATTTTGCATTATGTTAAGGCCTGTGTTGGCAAGCTTTTGTTCACTTCCAGCCAGTTTTGAATTCACTTACAAGTCTATAGAAATGCAAAACACACTTGAATCAGGCCTGGAGGAGGTCAAATGCAGAATTATGAATGATCTCAGAAGTATCTTCAGCTATTGCCATTCACTGAGCCCAAAGCTGTCCGGCACAGCCCTTTTACTGTACTATCACTGTCACCTTGGGTGGGGAGAAAGTCCTCAGCCCTGCATATGCTATTAATTGGCATGAACTTGGAGCTTACACATGGTTGGGCTTCACTTCCATGTTGCTGTGCTTGCTGGAGAAGAGGAAGGAAAGTATTGTGTTATAGGGCCAGCTTATGCATTAACTTTTGCTTTGCCCTGTATAGCCAAAACACATGTTCATTTTAATGTTCTACCTTAGCCAGCACCCTATCTTGGGATTTCTATTCTGACAAATTAAAATCTTTATTGTGATTGTCAATCATATATACACAGTTATGAGGTGCAGCTTTTTAATTTTGTTTTTATTTCACTGTTGCATTTAGGTATTGATGTGGAAGCAGCAAGGAAAGAGGAAGAGAGGATAATGCTTCGAGATGCAAGGCAGTGGCTAAACAGTGGCCAGATTAGCGATGTGCGACATGCAAAATCAGGAGGCACAGCTCTGCATGTAGCAGCTGCAAAGGGTTACACTGAAGTTTTAAAGTATGTGTACAGAATATATAACTCAGTAATTAGTTTGCTCTATTGTAGTAGACACAGGAATGTTATCATTTAGACATTTGGGTTTAAGTGTTGGCTTCAGGAGGTTTGGACAAACAAAAAATGATAATCCAGCCACCATATTACGCTGTCTCCATTGCAGTCATTTTTGTTCGAATATGATTTTTTCCCCCCTTCAATCAAGGTACTATTTTCCCAATTCATCTGTAGGCTACTCTAGGTAGGAATTTTTCCTAGTAATCTGTCCAGGACTGTATGACTCCACCTCCCAGAGGCAGGCAAAATGGTAGAAAATGTTTTTTGTATTTCTTCCTTTTGTGTGAAATCTCTGGTGTTCCTGTCGGTCCCTTTCTTATTAAACCCGACCACACTAAGAACACAGCGTGGTCAGTTCTATAGCTTTTCTGGGAACTTGGTGTGCTCTCCTCTAATGATCAGACTTATCCTGAAACCCCCCCCAAGCTCTGTGTACTGCGGTTTCTCCCTCCTCTAGCTCCTTTATACTGCTGAGAACAGAGGGAAAGTGATAATTTTACAAAGGGAGGGAAAAGGTGTGTTTTTTTTTTTTTTTTTTTTTTTTTATCTGTATACACAAATGTTTTGCAATTTCACTTGCTCAATCCTCCGCTACCAGAGGCTCCCTGTGCGCTGCAAGACTGGTCCCCACAGGCTCCTCTCCCCAGCGCTCCAGCAGTCAGATTCCCTCTGGCATCATCAAGTTCAGTTCAGAGCCTGAAACCCTGCATTGGGCATGGAGAAACTGGAGGACAGTCCACTGCTGGAGCACAGAGGAAAAAAGGAGAGCACTAGCTAGAGGGAGAGCAGAGTACTAGAGGGTTTTTTTTTTCTTCCACCAACCACCAGAGTTGGTGTTTAAGAGCTGGTTCCCCTGCATAGTCTGCAAGTATTTTTCTTCCACCTGAAGGGAAAGTGCTCCAGGAGCTCTACTGATGTGGACTTTGGAGCTTGTTTGTTGGGTCCCTTGTAGTCCTGTCTTATCACTGTTGGCTTTTTTTCGTGTTTCACGAGGGTTGTTACTTGATTGGCAGGGGTTTGGGCCTAATAGTTTAGTTGCTGCTTTAATTTTTAAGGCCAAGCTCTGCACAAATACAAACCACCTCCTGTTTTGAAATATGTCCATCCTCTAACTCTAAGCTAAGAGATTACTGGAACAAGCCACTTTGTCACATGGCAGTGGGTCCAGTGAGCCATTATCTCCTGCTTCTGTCAATCAGATCTTATGAGGAGGGGGGCAGGGCTGGGTCAAGCTGCACTGTGTTTTTATAGATGAATACATCCCAGGTCGGGAGCATGGCCACACAAGTGTCCCCATAGCAACTGGCTTACTATTGGGGTACTCGCAGAAGAGGAGGAATGAACTATGCTGCAAGGGACCCCAGAAGAGGAGCTAAGGGGGGCCCCTCTGAAAAACCATTGCACAGTTTAGGTAAGTATAACATTATTGTTGGGGTTTTTTTTTTTTTGTTTTTGTTTTATGTTTTTTTTTTTTTTTAGGAAAAAAAGCTAAGGTTTACAACTACTTTAAGATTGTGCCAGTATTTGATATCCCTAATTCGTTAAAATTTATTTAAGTTTTGGATGAAAGGGGATTAGATTAATTGCTCATTAGCTCTTAAAAATGTAGAAGTAACATAATATATATTTTCAAGGAATATAAGCTGGTGATAAAATCCTTCAGCTTCCACCCAAAATGTAGTTTCAATTTTGAGTAGACTTGCCATGTTGTATTACAAATAGAGCTTTGATTGCCTTTGAAGCTGTAAATGACTATGGTTATTACACTTAATATATCAACATCAAGAAGTACTTCTTAATATCCAAAGTGTACGTTGCGTACCTTTCTACTTGCCTCACGTGTGTTTGTCCCTTTCAGTAAAATATAGGGCTTAGTTTTAATATGTGATGTGGCACAAAAATAAGATGATTTTAATTTTCCTTTCTTTGCAGACTCTTAATTCAAGCAGGTTATGATATCAATGTTAAAGATTATGATGGTTGGGCACCACTCCATGCAGCTGCCCACTGGGGCAAAGAAGAGGCTTGTAGGATCCTAGTAGAAAATCTTTGTGAGATGGATGCTGTCAATAAAGTGGTAAGCCTTGTTACTTAGGGATGTGTGATTCCTATCGACACCCAGGACAAGCAGCAGGGTTTAGGGCCAGTGGTCAGTTCTAATGGGAAGCCCCCTCCCGCTGCAGCCTGTCCCATCCCACTGTAGCATGTGGCCTGTTCCCGGACTCTCTCGGAAGCTCCTCACCCTCCCAGGAAGTCACTGCCAGGCAATGTGCTCCCCACTCTGGTCCCTCAGCCTGCTATACAGTAAAGTCTGGTCCCATCCAACTCCAGTTTGCAGGTGCGGCTTGTCCTCAGAGCTCCTCTCCCTCCTGAGCATGTCACTTATCTGATGTCGCTAGTGGCAGGAATGCAGTGATCAGTGAAAATTTTTTTATACTGACACTGCACTAATGGCACTGGTTGGGTGCCAGGGGTGATCAAAGGGTTAAATGTGCTAATTTTTTTTTTTTTTTTTAAATGCTTTTATCCGAATAGTACAAGGATCAGGGATCATGTGATCGCATAGCGATCTCGTGATCACCGGGTTCTTCAGTCCACTGTGTCGTTTTGCCTGTAGCTGCCGTTTTGCCGCAGTACATTGTGGGCGAGAAGTGGTTAATGTCTCTACCACAAACCCCCCCACCAAATTCTTCATAGGCTGCTTTGCAGAATTGAAATGCAGGGCATTCCAGTGATCTTATTAACACCAAATTGGCCTAGATGTATTTGGTACTTGGAAACTCCATTGGCACTCCAAACTTGCCAGACCTGCTGTTTGAAGGCTTGTTCTACGATACCGTTTCACGGTGTCTGATTTTTAATGGCTTGAAAGCCAAGTCCTTCGAAATTGTGGGTCTCTCTGACTTATTTTTACACTGGGAAATCAACCTCTCGCAAGGATTTTTCTCACACTTGGAAGGGGTTCTATGGGTTGCCCTGGCACCTTTTCTGTGACCTCTCATGAAGGTGAGTGCATATAACCGAAGGTTAAGTCTAAGGCTACATTCACACGGGTCACTAGCCCCAGTGATATTTACAGCGGCAGGAATCTGTTGATCCCTGCAGCTGTTTTTGCCACCTGTGAGCGTTATCTGTGGCTCGCAAGCCCTGTAAACTTCAATGACAGGTCAGCAAGAGCCAGCTACTATCTGTGGTGATTGCTTCTGGACGCACAGAGTGCTTGGCAGGTGCAAGTAGCCACTCACAGGTGAAAAAAAAAAAACAGTTGCAGGAGTAAGCAGATTCCCGACGCTGCCATTCGCATCGTGACTAGTATTATTATTATTATTATCAGTATTTATAAAGCGCCAATATTTCGCTCAGCGCTGTACATTACAAAGGGGGACAGAACATGTGACAGAACAATACCAATACAATGCAAAACATGAGGGGATCGAGGGCCCTGCTCTTTCGAGCTTAGTAGCCTTAGAAGAGCCCGTATTCTGTACTGTATTCATACAAATAGTTTTGTAGGCAAGTCAAACATTTTTTTTTTCTGGTTTCTGTGTACAGCTATATGTAATGAGAAACTACAGTATATATTTGCACACCTTACCATAAACTGGCAAAGTATGTGTTCTCAAAACGTACTAACCATATGGTAGTTATTTTACCTAATAAAAGTGCAAGCACTCTATATCTGTGCAATATTGATCTAAAAAGTTTGTGTGTGAAAGTAATTTGACCATTCTCTGAGTTCTTGCAGTTCCTGCAACAGTCCACAGATGTGTCCAGATATATTTTCTAACAAATTCCAACAAAAGCCGTGAAATCTTCACTGAGTGTCTCCCTCAGTCTAGCAGACTGAAACTCCCCTTTTTTATATGTAGGCCAAAACTAAATCACTTTAGTATGAACACACTCTCATAATCCAAAAAAGGGTCAGTCCTCCTCTCAGAGCTTGCGAGAATGACACTTTAACCTTTTGCAATATACTTCGGGAAGAAAAGAATGCAGAGCAGCACATAACATAAAAACATCACAATTGCTTTATTTAAAAGTATAAAAAAGAAACCTTACTCAAATCATAGCCAATGCCACTTAAAGGATGAGTTCACCTTTAAAATAAATGCACATATATTTTGCAGGTTTTATTAGAAGTCTGTAAAGTGTTGTACCTGTGATCAGCAGTTTGAGGGTGCAATGTGATCCTGCTGAAGATGGTCATTGTAAGCTGTCTGCTTGTACCTCGTACGAGCAGGCAGCTACACAATGACAGGAACCATCAATGAACTGTCTGGCACTCACCAGCGCTCTGGTAATGCATTGAAATCTACAAGCTGTCAGCTGCAGTTTCCCTATTCACAGCACTCTGTAAAAGAATGATACAGCCACATGGGGTGCAGGGAGAAGATCCCCCAGATCTGTCACTGGAGGCGGTTGATCGGGGAGAGACTGCAGCAGTGGGAAAACTTTGCATGTTCTGCCCTAAAAACAGGTGGAACATGTAACTTTGTTCCCAAAGGTGAACTTCTTCTTTTAAGGTGACCTGAACAGATTTGATTTTTTTTTTTTTTTGTTTTGCTGCCGTGACCTGACTTACTGTAGAAGGATAGCTTTTTTGTTTTTTTTTGTTTTTTTATTTCATGGTCCCACTGTATGTAGGAATGTAGCCACCTTCTTGCATTTTCCTGAGATGGACTAGGAACATGGGATTTGTAGTGCACATGAGTGCAATTCACTCACTTTTCATTCCAAATGGAAGTGAGGGGGTTAAAGGAGAGGATTAAGCACTCAGAGGATGTTATAAGACAGTAGAATAACACAAACCATTTAAATAGGTTATAGGGCCATTAAGTAGCGGATGTGTATTGATTCATTTTAGAGAATGCTATAGTTTAGCGTCACTTTAAGGCAGAGAGGTGAGATCCAAAATTGATAAAACTATTCCATAATTTTGCTTTTAACACTGTTCTGCGGTGTAGCTCCTGGATAATACCATTTACATATTTATATATTTTATTTTTTATTTCTGGTAAAGGGTCAGACTGCATTTGATGTTGCCGATGAAGATATTTTAGGATACTTAGAAGAACTTCAGAAGAAGCAAAAATTGGTAATTTTTTTTAATCCATTTTATCAATTTAAAAAAAAAAAAAATCTTTAACCTATTTTTAATATACAATTAATTTGTTTTTCATATGCCAATTTCATATGTGTTCAGTACAATCCTTTGCATTAAAATGTTGTTCTTATTGGCCTATTGCCAGGGCAAGTTAATCCCTGACCATTCTTGCTGTAAAAAGTCAGTAGAATGAAATAAACATATTTTTATTTTACTCAACTGATTTCCAGGGATAGCTACTGTCAGGCAGCGCACTTGGAGTGCACAGGAGACTCTTTGCCAGGTGCTACTTGGACCTTGTTTACACTAGAGGTTGGGGTGCGGAAAACTAGGAGGCTGAGCCATGACTTTACCACCCCCAAATGCTCCCTCTTTAGCTGCAAAGGCAGTGGAGGGTTGTGCACATATGACAGTTGCAACACACTATAGCTGAGTTGAAGGAGTTAAAGCAGATGGTAAGGGGGCAATACAATGCCTCCTTACCACTTTTCAAATTCTCTCTGAAGAGCATTCTAAATGCAGATTTCTGTTCTGAACGCTTTGCAAGTGTAAATGAGGTCTTTGAGTGGACGTCTAACTGCCATGCCTGAAAAAGACTCTGGATTTTGCTTAACACTAGTTCCAGCAATTTAACAGTTTTCTGTTGAAACCGTTTTGAGTCTGAGTTCTTGTGAGTTTTAAGTCTAACAAACACACTCTGAAAAGAAGGTATTGTCCTTTGGATCCTATAACAAACTGATGTAGGATATATATCCAGTTCTGGTCCTTATTCTATTTTCTCATTGTCCCCTACATAATCTTATCAATATTGAATTTCATTTTCATTGGGCACCTTTTTTTTGTTGTTCCCATGTGTATTAAATGAACTATAGTTCTGTTAAGGTAATGATTTTGTAAACAGATGATTTGTATTTTACCTAACCATATGAAGGTTATTTAAAGTGGTGTTAACCCCAAAAGCAAACCTTTATTATATTGCAGCTTACCATTTCTTAAATATGATGGCTGCGTTTATTTTTCTTTTATAGGCTTGCTTGTTTCTATTTAAATTTGCCGATCAAGTCAGTAAGGCTGTTTGCTTTTCAAAAGAATGCACTCTCCAGCAGAATGTATCAGTTTAGAGATTAGGCACACCATTTAACACTATCAGGGGTGCTTACAATGATCAACTTTTTATGTAAAACCTTTATCCGAAAGCACTGTCCCAACAAAAAAGTTGTTTCTGCTTATAAAGTGTTAGCTGGAGTGTGGCTTCAATTTGTTAGTGTATTTAAATCTGCTAGTACATCTAGCACTCCCCTCCAGACGGACAATGCAGCTGTCCCAAGGTGCCCCCCCTGTGCTCCTTATATAGTACAGGTGGTGTATTACTGTCCAGATCACCAGGTGAAAACTGAGCGGAAAAGAAAACTGATGCAGCCACCACATCTAATGATTGGTAATCTGCAATATACTACTTTTTTTGGTTTGGGTTTTAATACCACTTTAAATTCAGTTACCTGTATGTTTATTAAAGCCATTATTTATGGAACAAAAAAGTAACAGCAATGTGTTTTGTAGGCTTATCATTTCAGAACGTTTTCCACCTTTTTAATGTAACCTATAAACGGTACAACTCAGTTGAACAACAAACTGAAATCTTTTAGGTGCAGGGAAGTAAAAATAAAAAAAATATAAAATAATATGGTTGCATAAGTGTGCACACCCTTAAACTAATACTTTGATGAAGCACCTTTTGATTATATTACAGAACTGTCTTTTTGGATATGAGTCTATCAGCATGGAATATCTTGACTTGGCAATATTTGCCCATTCTTCCTTGCAAAAACACTCCAAATCTGTCAGATTGCGAGGGCAGCTCCTGTGCACAGACCTCTTCAGATCACCCCACAGATTTTCGATCTGATTCAGGTCTGGGCTCTGGCTGGGCCATTCCAAAACTTTTATCTTCTTCTGGTGAAGCCATTCCTTTGTTGATTTGGATGTATGCTTTGGGTAGTTGTCATGCTGAAAGATGAAGTTCCTCTTCATGTTCAGCTTTCTAGCAGAAGCCTGAAGGTTTTGTGCCAATATTGACTGGTATTTGGAACTGTTCATAATTGCCTCTACCTTGACTAAGGCCCCAGTTCCAGGTGAAGAAAAAAAACTGCCCCAAAGCATGATGTTGCCACCATGCTTCACTGTGGGTATGGTGTTCTTTTGGTGACGTGCAGTGTTGTTTTTTTTATGTGCCAAACATATCTTTTGAAATGATTTCCAAAAAGTTCAACCTTGGTTTCATCAGACCATAACACATTTTCCCACATGCTTTTGGGAGACTTCAGATGTGTTTTTGGAAAGTTTAGCCAGGCTTGAACGTTTTTCTTGGCAAGAAAAGGCTTCCGTCTTGCCACTCTACCTCATAGCCCAGACATATGAAATATATGGGAGATTGTTGTCACATGTACCACACAGCCAGTACTTGCTAGATATTCCTGCAGCTCCTTTAATGTTGCTGTAGGCCTCTTGGCAGCCTTCGTGACCAGTTTTCTTATGGTCTTCATCAATTTTGGAGGGACGTCCAATTCTTGGTATGTTGGTTGTGCCATATTTTCTCCACTTGATGATTATTACTGTCTTCACTGTGTTCCATGGTTTATCTAATGCCTTGGAAATCCTTTTGTACCTGTCTCCTGATTGATACCTTTTAACAATGAGATCCCTCTGATGCTCTGTGGACCATGGCTTTTGCTGTAGGATGTGTCTAAGAAAATATCAGGAAAGACCTACTGGAACAGCTGAACTTAATCAGAGGCACTTTAAATGATGGCAGGTGTGTACTGACTCCTATTTAACATGATTTTGAATGTGATTGCCTAATTCTGAACACAGCTACATCCCCAGTTATAAGAAGGTGTGCATACTTTGTCAACCACATTTTTAGTTTTTATCTTTATCCCCCCCCCAAAAAAAAGAATTCAGTTTGTTGTACAGTTTATTGGTCACATTAAAGGTGGAAAAAGTTCTGAAATTATTTTTGTCATTTTTTTACATCACAGAAACCTGACATTTTAACAGGGGTGTGTAGACTTTTTATATCCACTGTATATAGTGGTTGTAAAGGTTCTTTTCTTCACTGCTGAACAGCTTAAAAAGCTGCTTAACTTACAGCTTACTGTCATTGACAGTATAAAGTAACTTTCAATTGAAAGGATCATTTATAGGTTTGCCATTTGTAATATTTCTCTTGATAATATACCTACAGATATCAGAAATTTGTCAATTCACCCTTTTACAGTTAAATAGAAAGTGTGTATGCTTTTTGATACCTTCATGATCTTGTGCAGGTCTCCCTCTCTTCTTCATAGGTTCAAACATGCAAATTCAAATAGGACGGCACCTTGTCCTGTAGTCCAGGCTTCTGGAACCTTGTAGACATACTACTAAGCCAGATATATCTAAAATGGCTTTAGTGTGTGTGCGCGGGGAAATCTTCATATGTGGATGTGGTGGTTTGCTTATCTGCTTGTTAATTTAAAGTTGTACTAAATACTAAGTTTTTTTTTTTCAATGAAAATGAAGTAACACCTGCTCTGTGGAATGATATTAAACAGAAAGGTTGCTCTCCTCCTACTCTGGCAGTCCCCCACCTGCACTGTCATATTTTCCTCTTAGGTGCAAGTCATATGGTAAAGCTGCATCCATGTCTGGTAGGAATGTGTTTTTCTCAGTCAACCCACCTAAGATTCCAGTCAGAGGCATATGGCATCAAACTGCAAAACAGCTCTGCAGTAAAGCCATTCATCTTAACACCAGGGTGATTGTTCTGCAGCCCTGGTATACTGGATCCATTGTGACACATGGCCACACTTTAGGCTTACCTCGGGGTCTACTCTGCCATCATAAGTAATCGTCCTATAGCAAATATTGTTTGCTGTTTGAGTAAACAATTCAGTGATTTTAACACGTTTAGATTTGTGATGTTGACATCTGTTGTAATATTTTTTATATTTGAATTTTTAAATACCTTAATGGTTAATTTTATTTTTTGTCTTGATAAAAAAAACAAAAGCTAGGTTGAGGTGTGACAAAATTGAATGTCTATTGTAATTGCTGACCATTATCTGCCATGTTTATCCATAGCTATTCATGTGTTTTTTTTTTTTTTGTTTTCTTTAGCTTTTGAGTGAAAAACAAGAGAAGTCACCATTAATTGAGTCTTCTACTACCGAAAACAATCAGTCATTGAAAACACTGAAGTATGCTGTACAATTTTATTTATACCTTTTGCATATGCCTTGTGTTGACCTGTAACAAATTAGTCTGAAAACCAGAAGAGCCATCACAGCATGTGAATTATATGCCCAAAAACACAACCTCAAAAAAACACTTTTACAAATCGTGTATATACGTACACCCCTGTCATGTACGCAACTGCCAAAATAAAATCTAAGCATCCTTGCCTCAGAGCCCAGTGTTTAGTGCGAACGATCTTTACTCCCTCCCCACACACACTGCACTCTGCATAAGAAGTATTTTGGATAATTTGGTTTTGGAAGGCACCGAAAAAGATAATTTGTCGTATACTAGTCTGCTCTTTTATACAGAGCTTATTCTATACAGAGCTTGACAAATCCTGGTCACCACGGCGACAAGTCATGTCCCGGGCTCCCACCAGCCTCTCCATTGGCTGGAACTTCCCACCCCCTTTTGACCCTCCCCCCAATCAGGAAAGGAGCTGGGGATGATCTCTTCCTGGCCATCCAGAGAAGCAGGTGTGGACAGCGCAGAGGGGAGCAGACAGTGAGCCCCGGCTCTCTCTGAAGGCCAGCAGTGACCTGGCTGAGCCCTGCAAGGAGGGCAGCCCGAGGTGGGGCCCGGGTGGTGACTGAACTCTACTCTCTAGGTGAGATAAGAAACCCAAGGCACCTGCCTTCCTGTTGTCTCTGCCCTCTCCCCTGCTGGGCGCCTCAGGCTGTACTTGACTCGCTTCAGTGATCTCCTTTGCACCCTGCACAAACAGGAGGCAAGGAAAATGGCCGTAGAGCCGCAGCCACTCCAGCTCCACCCTCCAACTAAATCTCCCAGCTCCAGTTACTGGCTTGCAGTCCCACTGATAAGGCAATCTGTGGGCAGGGTTGCTGATATATGGAGGAAGGGGCTCTTTCTGATCTAATGGGGGTCTCTAAGGGGGAGCTGCACTGATATAAGGGACTGTGAACTAATAGGGGGTCTCTAAGGAGGGGCTACCTTAGAGACCCCTATATTAGCATCACTTCCTTAGAGACCTCCCATTATATCAGTCACCTTATATCAGCACCCCCTCTTACAGACCCCCATTAGATCAGAGTTCCTATATATTCGCACGCACTCAACCCCCCACCCCCCATTAGATCAGTCCCTTCATAGTAGCACTCCCCTTAGAGACCCCCCCCATTATCACAGTCCCCTTTAATCCACAACCCCCTTTAAAGATCAACGGTTGGTCATCTTTGTCCCAAAAAGAGCAAGCAAATCCCTGTCAAAAAAAAAATTGGCTATATGCTGTATTGCAGGGCTTGACAAATTTTGCTTTGAATCTAGGAGCCAGCTAAAAGTTAAGAGCCAGTTTGTCCAGTGGTGTTTGGTGTGAAGTAAATGCTCTGACATCATCCTGAATAGCTGCTATTTTGGAAAATTATTTGCTAAATATGGAATTGAATGTTAAGTTTATTTAAAGTGGTATTAAGCCCAAAAACAAAAATTTTAAAAATTGCAGTTACCAATTCTTATATGTTGTGACTCCCTTTATTTTTACCTATTGATCCAACCAGTAAGTGTTATTTTTCAGCTCCATTTAAAAGAACAGCATTTAGCATTAGATCAGGGGTTGGCTGCCCTTCTTCTCTCCCTCCAGCTGTCTTTCAGCTGCTGCAGGGGAGAACTTCAAGAGATCAGTTCCAGTAAATATGCCATCACCACTACTCCTGTCCAGGTTCCCCCTCCTTCTGCAACCCGGACCCCCCTGTATTCTCACTTTTACAGATCCCACCCCTCTTTGTTTAGGTAGATCTCCACTTCTCAAAGGTTTAAAAGAAAAAAAAAAAAAGATATACCTCAAAGCTATATATCTATGCTGTGCCAACCCCTAAATCAACGTACAAAATAAATCAAATTTAAACACAAATATTACAATACATGTGCTCTAATATACAGTCCAATGATATAATAAAGTTTAACATGTGCGATTCCTGTGATCCAGATGCAAGTCCCAATATGCTGTTATATACATCACGTGTGCAGCTTATAGCTTTACATCAACTCCATTTTGGTGAATTCCACCACCACTGTGCCAATGTGCTCACCTCACACTTTGGACCTGTAAGATAGATGTACGGCCCTTTTAAATCCCAGACATGTACATACTGCTGCTCTGTAATCAAGCCCATAAATATATGGGGGGGGGGGGGGCACATAGTGTAGTAACTTTAAAACTACTTTAATATTAAAATTGCAGTTACATTACATTAAAATATCACAGCCCTTGTTACTGTACAGCAGTGCCACGGCTCCCCCATCATTTCCTATTGCTTCGGTCCATCAAGTCAGCCGTCTCTGTCCAAAGTGTATTGTCACAGTCGCGTGACCCTGAGTGTAAGTGGTTATAAAAATATCGCAATATATGTAATTTAAGCGCGGGGTTACACACACTTTATTTACCTCTCAAAGGTTGTGTATCCCTCATTTAGAGGGTTTAGACAGTATGAAATGGACAGGGGTGCTTACAATGATCTGCTTTTATTCACATAGTTAAAACCTTTGTCCCAAAAGGAAAAAAAAAAAAACTGTTGCTGTAAACTACTTAGTGTTAGCTGGAGTTTTTGGTTTTGATTTGTTAGTAAAGACTATCTGAATTTACTAGTGCATCTAACACTGCCCTCTCGCCAGATTGACAAAGTCTAGGGTGCTGTCTAGGGTGCCTCCTTTGTGCCTCCATTTATACTGGAGACACCACACTAAGACAAGAGGTGCGTTACAGGCCACATCAGCAGGTTAGAATAAGGAAAATAATGCAGCCACTGCATTTAGCGATTGGTAAGGTGTAATATATTACATAGTTTTAGGATTTAATATTTTTATGCCAGTTTGATCTCTTTCATGGATGTCAGTACAGTTTGGCCTTCACTGAAACATAGCTCCAGTCACAACTTGTCTATATTAATTTTGGAAAGAATGCATTTGTGTCTTCATTTGGGAGTTTTCGGTTCCCGTCTTGTGCTGGTGATAGTGACTGGGCGCTAGGGGAAATTTGTCCATTGGAAGCAGATGGGGAAGAGGCCGATCTAATCATTGGATGTGTAATAAAGAAAATTTGTGTTTAAAGAAAAAGTGATTCTTGTTAATGGGTTCCCTCCGATTTTGGGGGGGTTCAGAGGACGACAGGGTAAAATAGTTGGTAGTATTTGTCTTGGCGTTCTCTGCATTTTTGGATAGTTTTAAAAAAATACGAGTGAGAGGGATGTTAAAGCTACTTTAAAAAAAAAAAGTGCTTTACAAATGTACTTAGGGCCTTGCTTTCTTCAGGAGCCAAAAGCAAGCTGCATCCAGTTCACTTCAATTAATAGGACAAATGAAGGCCTGAGAAAGCACTTGTCCAACCTATCTTTTAATCACAAAATGTTCTCTGCAGTGCTGTGATTACTATTGGGTCACCACAGGCTCCAAACTGTGGTATACTGCCGTAAAGTGCAAGATCAGTTTGGAGTGAGTACTGCAGTGTTCAGTGGATAGTGTTGTTGCTTTTTGTTATGAATGAAACTTCTTGTGTTTTTAATTTAATCTACTGCACAGATGGGACCTCAGCTGTCATACTGACAGCAGCTCCTAGCCGCTATAGTCAGGTGTTTAGCGGGGAAGGATTCTAGAACATTGAGCACTAAATTCTTCACTAAATTCTTCCTTTCTGTTTCTAAAACTAAATTTACACTTCATTTAGCAAAGAGACTTTAATTATTGAGCAAGAGAAGAACCTTTCAACAATTGAGTCTCTTGAACAAGAGAAGGCAGATGAAGAGGATGAAGGAAAGAAAGATGAGTCTAGCTGTTCCAGTGAAGAAGAGGAGGAGGAAGACTCTGAATCTGAAGCAGAAACAGGTTAGTACCTAGAAGCATGTTTCATTTTAGGAGTTCGATTGCTATTTTTTTTTTTTAATTTGTATATTAAAGTGGTAGTAAAGAAATAGTGAAATGCGATGTTGCACTTACCCTGTTAACAACGTGAATATATACGCCTAATTATATAATTAATAAAAACTAAATATGTGCATCAGTTAATACAATAAACCTATACAAAACATAAGAATGTCTGGTATTTTTCTGTCGGTGTCTTTTTTCGTTCATCAATCCAGCATGTGATCATGTGCCATATGCTTCCTAAGTGGCAGTTCATACATCAGTTTTCTCCACCATGTGTTCAGTGAATCCCGGCTCTTTTCATACCATGTACACAACCTTCAAACGTGGACCTGCATACAATCATACAATTCAAGTCTAGATGTTCTCTCCCTTTTACAGGTTCAATCGTAGCCCTCCAGAGCAATGGTAGGACAGGCAATATTCCACTTATAATATTCAGTGTAATGGCATAACATTTGTTGTGGTACTGTGTGTGTGGTCTTTTAACCCTTTCACTGCTCGGTCTGTACTTCCTACAGACCTCACAGTGTGTGGTTGGGGGGGGGGGGGGGGGGGAGTTTACACGTAATCCGGTGACACCAGATTTGTGTCTAAAACTGTCAGACTGGCTGGCTGCGATGCCGCTCAGTTTGCTTCCACACACCCCTGGTACACATGTCTGCTCTACTCCCCTTCTTTCTGTAATCCAGAAAGTGACGTGTACGATGTCACCTGTCACTTTCGCCGGCTAGCATAGCCAAGAAGCAATGTATTGCAATACATTGAATGGAGCCCAGAGTAGACATGCAGGGTCTTTTTAGACCCTGCATGTCCTGTTAAAGAGAACCTGTCACCAAAAAAATAATCATATCCCCCTATGTGATGGGGAAATAAAAGTTACACACACACACGTATGAGCATAAAGGCATGTGTTGAGCATAAAGGCATGTGTTGGGTGTCTGGCCATGAAAACGTTAATTGTGATACACGTTTCATATCACAGCGCACATCGAAGTGAGAGCAATATTTCTAGCACAAGTCCTTCTCTATAGCACTAAACTGATGGCTTAATAAGGGGGGCTTTTGAGGAGTCTCCTATAGAAAATGTAGCGTACTAAAGTTTGTCGTCATTTCACGGGCGCCCACGAATTGAAGGTTTGACATGTTGGCTATCTATTTATTCAGTGCATCCTCGCATTTTGATTACTTAAAAGTTCACTGTAGCGTGTATTTTTACCTTTGCAGTAATATTGTGTGACATAAATTGAAACTACCATTATTTTTTTTTTTTCTGCTTTCAGAAAATGTTTGGGGGTTTTGTGTAATCTTCAAACCTGAAATAATTTATTAAGCGTGTGCAAAAACTGTTCTGGCAGTGAAAGGGTTTAAGGGATCGGATCTCTCCTTTCTCTGCTCTTTACGTAAACTCAGACAGCAAGGGAAATCCTCATAATGTAGTATGTTAAAGAATTTATTTAATAAACTTAAGTATTGCACTTACAATTGGGTTGATGTATGAATTGCCAGCTAGGAAGCATATGGCACATGATCACACGGTAGATTGATGAATCAAAAAGAGGACACCGTGATAAAGAAGAATACCAGAGACATTCTTATGTTTTGTATATTTTATTGCTTTATTTAATTTGATTCACATTTTTTTTTTATTTCATCTCCTTGGGAATATATTGTCACGTTGTTAACAGTGAGCCCAACATCGCATTCAGTATATTACTTTAATGGGTATTCGGGGAACACAGTTGATGGTTGCAGCTATCCACATTTGGAGATCTAGGATTATGACGCATGGTTATATATCACATAGAAGGAGGCACAGGAGTGTCACTATTAATTTAGTCTCTACAAAAGTGTTTTTTTTTTACCATAAAGTTTTTAAAGGGAATTTTATATTTGTAGTTTTAGACAGAGTAGAGATAAATTAGAACACCTGTTAGGGTTCTGGTGACCGGGGGGGGGGGGGGTTCCTTTTTTCATTTGTAAGGATTCCTTCCCTTCCTATTTATGCTATGGGACAGGAAGTAAAGGTAAATCTCCGCAATGGAGCACAGATGACCAAAAAAAAAACGTACAAGGGTTATAACCCTCCCTTACTCTATCCAAAATAAAATTAAAAAAAAAAAAAATTTGCCTGCAATTCTACTTTAATGCATTCCCTGCATTAAGGTAAAAAAAAATGTCCCAGTGCTAATATTGCCCACTCATTCCTCCTTATACTAAACTGAGTGCACTGAGAAGAGCAGCCACCTGGAGTGTTGGTGGGGGACCCCAGAAGAGGAGATTCGGGCCACTCTGCAAAACCATTACACAGAACAGGGAAGTATAACGTTTTAAGAAAACACTTCACATTGATCTAATGTTTACTTTAGATTATAAACTCAGTACCTATTTTTTAGGCTGTTTTGAGGTCCTTGCACATGGCATAAGCCTGTCTGCTATATTCGTGTTTACAATAGTAGTGCTGTATACCCAGTTACAGCAGCACACAGCCCATTCTTGTCTGGGAGGCTGCACACTGTACCTGGGCTGCCCAGGCCGGGAAAAGACATTGACATTTACGCTGAACCGGTTCAGCCTCCCGTGTTCAAAGACCTTTTTAATTGACGTCGAATTCCCCATTAGAAAAAAATGTATTGTAAATAACTATAATTCCACTGGAGACATCACAGTACTGACTAGGTTTCATCATTTGGTGAGCACTTTTCATGCTTCATTCTGGTCGTTTATTTGTTGACTAGCATTCTGGCTTTGCTGAGCAACAAAGCGGATTATGAAAGGGGCTGTGGTACTAGATATAGCCTAATTTGATAACTTGTTCTCCTGCTAATATATTTAGTTATTTTAGAATTCCGTCAAGAAGTCAGTAAACATACAGTTGCATTGCCAAAATTAAAGTTATTCTTCAGCTCTAATTATTGGTATGCCAGCCCCTGGAAATTGTCTGGACATCCTTGGGCTGTCCAAAGGTAGACTGGTATCTTCGCAAGGGGACATCTATGTATTCATTGGGCAAAAGTTTTTCAAATTGGGAAGTTCAGAATTTCTATTGATGGCTGGAGGTACTTATTGACATCTTGAGATATCTTATTGTGCAAGCTTTAAATGAGAAACCTGATTGTCTGATTTGGTTGTTTATGGTCACCCTTAGTGAATTGGAGATGTGCCTTGCTTTAGATGCTAGCTGGGTGATCCAATGCCAATATAAGTGATTCTGGCAAAATAGGTAGATGATTTACCTATATTCTTTGCTTCCCTTCCAGACGTAGTAGTGGGTTTGAATATGTGCTGTGTAATCATTTAATTTTTTTTTAAATGCTTTTTTTTCTCTCGTTTCTTTCTGGAGAACATTCTGGAAGATGTAGTATGTACAGTGGGGATCGAAAGTTTGGGCACCCCAGCTAAAAATTTGTATTAATGTGCATAAAGAAGCCAAGGAAAGATGGAAAAATCTCCAAAAGGCATCAAATTACAGATTAGACATTCTTATAATATGTCAACAAAAGTTAGATTTTATTTCCATCATTTACACTTTCAAAATAACAGAAAACAAAAAAATGGCGTCTGCAAAAGTTTGGGCACCCTGCAGAATTTATAGCATGCACTGCCCCCTTTGCAAAGCTGAGACCTGCCATGTCATGGATTGTTCTCAATTGTTCTCAAGAAGGCTATAAGAAGATAGCAAAGCGTTTTCAGATGTCAATATCCTCTGTTTGGAATGTAATTAAGAAATGGCAGTCATCAGGAACAGTGGAAGTTAAAGCAAGATCTGGAAGACCAAGAAAAATATCAGACAGAACAGCTCGCAGGATTGTGAGAAAAACAATTCAAAACCCACATTTGACTGCACGATCCCTCCAGAAAGATCTGGCAGACACTGGAGTTGTGGTACACTATTCCACTAAAAAGAGATACTTGTACAAATATGGTATCCATGGAAGAGTCATCAGAAGAAAACCTCTTCTACGTCCTCACCACAAAAATCATCGTTTGAACTTTGCAAATGAACATATAGACAAGCCTGATGCATTTTGGAAACAAGTTCTGTGGACCGATGAGGTTAAAATTGAACTTTTTGGCCGGAATGAGCAAAGGTACGTTTGGAGAAGAAGGGGCACAGAATTTAATGAAAAGAACCTCTGTCCAACTGTTAAGCATGGGGTTGGATCAATCATGCTTTGGGGTTGTGTTGCAGCCAGTGGCACAGGGAACATCTCACGAGTAGAAGGAAAAATGGATTCAATAAAATTTCAGCAAATGTTGGATGGTAACTTGATGCCATCTGTGAAAAAGCTGAAGTTAAAGAGAGGATGGCTTCTACAAATTGATGATGATCCTAAACACACCTCGAAATCCACGGGGGATTACATCAAGAGACGTAAACTGAAGGTTTTGCCATGGCCTTCACAATCTCCTGACCTCAACATAATTGAAAATCTATGGATAGACCTTAAAAGAGCAGTGCGTGACAGACAGCCCAGAAATCTCAAAGAACTGGAAGACTTTTGTAAGGAAGAATGGGCAAAGATACCTCAAACAAGAATTGAAAGACTCTTGGCTGGCTACAAAAAGCGTTTACAAGCTGTGATACTTGCCAAAGGGGGCAGTACAAGATATTAACTCTGCAGGGTGCCCAAACTTTTGCAGACGCCATTTTTTTGTTTTCTGTTATTTTGAAAGTGTAAATGATGGAAATAAAATCTAACTTTTGTTGACATATTATAAGAATGTCTAATCTGTAATTTGATGCCTTTTGGAGATTTTTCCATCTTTCCTTGGCTTCTTTATGCACATTAATACAAATTTTTAGCTGGGGTGCCCAAACTTTCGATCCCCACTGTATGTTTTTCCATATAGCTGTTTAAATCAACCAAGTGTACCCATGAAACCTAAAATTCATCAGGCTTCAAAACATTTATATCGATGTCTAGTTAAAACATGTTTTTTTTAGTTTTGGATATCATGTGAATTTATTAAGGTTTGTACTATCTGGAGTTCCAGATATCTGGAGAGAAATCTCCCCCTCTACCTTGTTAATGTTTTTTACCAGACAGTAAATGAGAGAAAATCTTCAACAGTATGCTCAGCTCAGGTGCTCAAAATGCAGACTTAAACAGGCATTTTCAGGTGTATTGGAGGCATTTTTTAGGCTTTTTTGTACATGTATCAAGCTTCAGGAGTTTGTTTCCTGTGCTGGGTAATGGGAGGAGAGTAGCCCCGTAGCAGGAGAGTAATTCTTCAGGCTTAAACATGTGCAAAAACACACATCTTGCGCATTTTGCTGGCATTCCTATTGACATCTATAGGATCAAAAACACCTGAGTACGCTCAGAAAACTCATGTACTTTTTGGGTGTAGGGCGACTGAGTGAGTGTACAAGTGTGAATAGGAACAATAAGAGAGAATAGGATTCTGTATAGTCAGGTGTAGGGAGACTAACAGAAAAAAGTCATGTTATTTGGGGGCTAACACAGACAGAAATATATAAAAATGATTTTCTTAAGTAGAATAAGGGAAGCCTAGAACTTCAATCAGAATTTTTTTTATTTTTTTTCTGTCTGTGTCGCTATTGCAGATTTCCCCTCCCTTCTGTTTGGTAAAACAGTTGTTGGCAAGATATGGTTTGAGCTTAATTCTCTCTAAAGTTGGCCATAGATGGGTCAAATCTTGGCCAACTGTCTGAGATTCAATCCATCTATGGGCAGGCTGGTTGTATTGAAGTCTATCAATGGATCGACTTTAGTACAACCAGCCTGTTGGATTATTTTCATGCGATCACTGCTGGCGGCTATTGTGTTCTGCTAGCAGGGAAGGCTTTCCCACTGGTAGAACATAATAGAGCTGTGGGAGGGATTCCCCATCAACACTGACTGACTGTGTTGATGGGGGCATTGAGCAATTTTCTTTCCTTCCACCAGTGGTGGAAAGAAAAAAAGCTTGCATAGTCTATAGGCTGCTTAACTGTGCCTTGTATAGCTTACTGTAGGGTGTCGTAGCTCAGGGGTTGAATGATTTACATAGCTTGTACCAGGGACTTCAGACCAAGACAAGGAGATTGAGTCATTTTGTGATAGTTTGTGCCCTGTATAGCAGTAAAAATCTGGTAGAAGTTCTAATTCTTCCAAATCTATCCAATACAAGAAAAAAATGTTTTGTCTTGACAATCAGTTTTAACAAGTTTTCATAAAATTCCTAATTGTGATTAATTACCTTTTCTTTACTTGAAGGGCTTATTCACCTCTTTTAGTTCTAATAATGCGTATGTTCAATAAAACGTATGCATGTTACTGCATGTGAATATGGCTTTAAAATGAATTCTAAAGAGCCAGGGCACAGTTGTTATAGCAGTATAACTTTGTCCTGCTGCCTATGTGATTGCAGACTTATGTCCTGCTCCTGCATTGTTTTTGGGTTTTTGGTTTTTTTTTTCTTTGTAGAATAGAAGTGGGATTTAGGCACTTTGGTTTTTATTGCTAACATTCAACATGCTGTCCAGCACTATTGCACGAAGTTATTATAGAAGGGTGCACTGCCAACGGTGGTATCATATAATTCAAAATGAAAAAAAAAACACTATGTGTTAAAAACCAAGGCTAAGCCAGGCTTCCTCATCCTCAAAGATGCCTTTGCACAGTGTGCCTGTAGGTAATGGATTCCTCCGTAAAGGTGCAGAGGCACACCAGAAGCCCAGCATAGCACAAAGGCAGCTGAAAGTTTCCAGGAATAATAAAAAAAAAAAAAGTTCAGAGACATGGCATTAGTGCCCCTTGAACGCCTGCCAGCTGTGACTATACCACACTCTGAAAAGCAGTCCGCTGCCGTTTGCTTTTTAGATGGCAGTAAACATGACCATTAGTCTGAATGTCCAAAGCAAGAGGAAATCCAACATTTTCTGAATGCCTATTAAGTAAACTGGGGGGAAATCATCCGATGGGAAGAGATGTTCTGGTAATTGTCTAAAATGAGAATTTCCTCACTTCAGGGAGTTTCCCCCTCATTTCCTGTTGTGCTGGCAGGAAGTGAAGGGAAATCTTTCCAGTGGGACATAGCAAAATAACTTGAATTTGTTTTAACCCATCCCCACACTATTCAAACAAAAATAGTTTTGGCTATACATGTACCTTAACTACTTATTATACCTGTTTGCTTTAGTAGGTGCATTTTTCTTGTAACATAAATTTAGCACTATTAGATTGTATGTTGTCACCTTGATTTGCTCTTAGTTCTCACCACACTATGCTGTCCTTTATTTTATGTTCATCTCTATTTTTCAGTTTGTGATGGTATACTACACAAGTGTTTAGTACCATCTGATGGGTGTCTTGCAGTTTTCAATTCTCTGCTCATATAATAGATTTTGTTAAAATTCCCTGATTTTATGCTGCCCTCTTCTGGTTAGATACTTTTTGTAATAAAACAGAATGTCCCTAATTTCCTGTTACTAATTTTCGCAACTTCTTTCCAAATGTAGATAAAACCAAACAGTCTGCAAATAGTACAATTATCAGATCTCAGGTGACTACTGGAACAGCTGTACCTTCTGTGGCATCTGGACAGGTCACACCAACATCACCAGTAAAGAAGGTAAATCAGATACCTGCAATATTTTAGTGGGCTGAAGATTTTTTGTTTTTGTTCCTCAAACTTAAATGTGTCTTAGTAGAGAGGAGTGCGCTTCTTAGCCCCCAAATTACTTATTGAGTTTGTACTTTTTATTTGTATATGTCCATTGAATGGTCCCCCTTTTTACTCACAAAAATGCACTTCTAGGTTCTGTTCACAAAGCAGAATCTGAAAATTACTAACCCACCAACTGCACTGTGTGTGTGTGAATACCTGATTAACCATTGGCCATCTGTCTTTTTGAATTCCATTCCCTTATTACTCTTCACTTTCCTACCCCCCTCGACTTTTGTCAAGTGGTTTTAGTAGTTGCACCACACACACTATTAAAGCGATAGGCGGCTATACAGACTGAAGCAGGCTGAGGAAAACCAGCACAGGCTCATAGCTGCTACTGCAGCAATGTATTATTATACAGGATTTGTACGAAGTCATCCAAGAGGTGAACTGGTCCAAAGACCAAAGAGCCTTTGTTTTTAAACTCACGAGCCATTATTATCTCTTCCGTTTTTTGTGTGAGAGAAACCGTATTTTTCGGAGCAAAAACGTGAGAGATTGATCTTCTTCTTTTTTTTTTTTTTTTTTTTTTTTTTGTAATTGCTACATCATTCAAAATATCACACACAGTCAATCTAACATGCATGCGGAACAGCATCTCTATGATTCATTAATGCATTGAACAAACACATTTTTGTTAAAGTATGTAAAAAAAAAAGTTACCATATGAATTATGCCTTTTCTGAGTGTGGTGTTTCTTAAACTGTGCTTCAAACAGCAGTGCCATTAATAACTGACAAGATCTGGCACTTTCAACTTTGGGCTCCTCAGGAGGATACTTTGTTTTTCACTGCTAAAATTAGTCATAAAGTGTACTAAAAGGTTTTGGATTTAATCTTAATTGTACAGGACTATTACTAGACCATGGGTTATATATGGCTAACTTCAAGTGACTTCAAGCTCGCTGTACAAAATTGGCTAGCTTCTCAACAGTTCCAGCTGGTATTAGGAGACTGGCTTCATCTGTTTCTTGTTTTAAGGCTTTTCAAAGCCCACAGGAATAATACCCAGACCCTGCACTGGACATGTTATGATGGCTTGTAATGTTGCCTGTCAATACTGGTCCCTGCATAGTATATTGCCTTGTGGGCTGGTAGGGTGCTGGACAGGTCCTGAGCAGTGATCTCTTTATTCAGAAAGTCAAGTCCCTGAATGCCCATGTGTTGAATCCTGAATTGAAGGTGAAGATTGGACCTGAGTTTTATTTCTTAGGGGCTGCTGCTGGTGATGCAGGCAACAGCAGAGGCTTGACATTTTCCCCGCTCCCTGCATTCCTCTGCTCTGGCCTTGCAGAGAGAGGCTTGGATGGGATATGATGACACGGATGGGTGAAAGTTACCTAGCAGCCATCTTGTTACCCTGCAAAAAGCTTGGAAAATGTATTCCTTGAAAGATTGCGAATGAATGGTTCCACAGCATTGTGACCCTGAGCTGCAAACTTGATTTTTTTTTTTTTTTTTTTTTTTTTTTTATTGAATCCTTACCCAGTTTTATTCCCCTCCAACAAAATGTCCTGATGGCGTGGGACAGTAGAACTTGGATTGTGACTAAGTCACAGCGCAAGACTGGGTGGAAAATAGTTTCTTTCTCAGTCCTGGAGGGTCCTGACAGACACCAACTAGAACATTTTTTTGGTAAGGGGCACCTGATCTCCAAAGGAGAGGTCGTTGCCCTCAATATTTTAGAACTGAGGGTGATTTGTTATGCTTGGCTGCATTTGTCAGTGTTGCATAAAGGCCTCCCTGCATAGGCTTTTGTTTAATGTGCAATGGCAGTGGATTACATAAATCAGGGAGGCACCAAGAGGAGTCATACTGGCTTGGACAAAACTGCATGCTCCAGTTTTGTCTGCTGTATACATTTCAGGTGTGAAAAACTGACAGGTGGATTCAGAGGAGTGGGCCCTTAACCCAGTGGTGTTCAAGGAGCTCTGCCTATGGTGGGGAACTCTGGATGTGAGTCTTCTGGCATTCAGTTTTCTATTTGTTGAGATTTAACCTATGGAAAAGTATTTTTTAAAGGGCCATTCCAGTGGTGGATCGTGCCACTTCAGTTTTCAGTGAACTCCTTACAGTTAATATTGAGGATATTCTCCGGTTTTAATGATTCTATTGTGTCTGGATGCCCTTTTTAAAGGACTTCTTTTCCCTTGCACATCCTGCCCTGCAGCCAACCATATCTGCTATGTCTATTTGCCAGAATACTGGTAACTGAGCAGGATATATAAATTGAGAACACAAAACCGGTTGAGTACCCCTGTTCTTAGAACAATTACAGCTAATGCCATCAGCAATGTAGTTTTGTGTTGATGCACTAGAGAATGTATTTCACCAGATCTCAAGAATGTACCTTATCTCTGTGCATATGCGCAGGAATTTTTGGCTAAAAGCTTGGTCTTCTCAATATGCTTGTAGAAATTCTTACTCATGCCTTTTGATAGCGAGTGCCTCTTTGGGGAATCCCTTGATAAATTTGTCAAGGAAGCCACTTGGGTAAAGGTACATTGCTTTTCTCAGACGGGGAGTTTCTAGCATCAGTACATATCAGATATGCAAGATGTCGATCTACATATCGTCCATCTTCCCTCCACATCAGTGCTTTCTACGTTCTTTTCTGTGGGAGACCAACGCTTCCAATTTTAATGACCTCCTGTTGAAGGACTTCATTCGCAACCTTTTCTGCCAACCTCTAAAGGACAACTCAGCTTTTGGTTAAACAACGTTCCAAAGTCTGCTCTGCAGCTCTAACACCATTTGGAGTTGCTGGGTCTAATCTTGGACACAGCCCAAGCAGAATCTTCCTTCCATAGAAGAAAATGTCTTCCTTAAGGTCCTATATGCACATCCTTGGGTCAACGGCACCCTTCAGTTGCTTCTGCATAAAGGTCCTGGTACTGATGGTAGCCTCCTTCGAGGCAGTTCACTTTGCCCATTTTCACTTTGGACGACTTCAGCCTTAACATAGTCATGATGTGGAACAAACAAATACATTTCTTGGTTTGCCTATACTTTATGCAGTCAAAACACTCTGAGGTGGATCTCCAATCCTGCCTTAGCGTTGAGAGAAGGTCTTTCTTTCACACGATTTGCAAGGTGGTGGCATTGGATGCCAGCCGCTACAGGCTAGTGTGGACTTTACAATCCTAACTTTCCTGGTAACCATAGGAGTATAAACCTCCAATCCGCATTCTGAAACTGAGAGCCATCAAATTGTTTCTCAAACACTGAATCCCCCTCTGCAAGGTCAGTCAAGGTGCCTTCGGAGAATGCCACAGCAGTGGCTTACATAAGCCATCAGGTGACACCAGAAGCTGGACTGCCCTAAAAGAAACAAGTTTGATACTATCCTCGGTGGATACTCGCATTCCAGCTATCTTAGCAGTCCACATCCCTGTAGTGGACAGTTGGCAGGTCAGCTTCCTAAGCCATCAATGCCTAGACCCAGGGGGAGTTGTCTGCGAACCCAGATAGCTTTCAAAATCTGTCAAAGGTAGGGAAGAAGATGGAGGCTTCTTGCCTTCCCAGGTTCAACAGGCTACACAAGTTTTATAGCCAGTACCAGGAATCCTATAACCTTCGCAGTGGCTGCTCTGTTAATTCCTTGGACTCCGTTCAAGCTGGTTCTTGCTGTACTTCTGATGAAGATCCTTTGGAACCCTTTCCTCAATTTTGAGCAAGCAGTCAATTTTTTATTGCACCAAATTGCCCTAGAAGTACAATACTGTGCAAACGTTTTAGGCAAGTGTGAAAAAATGCTGTAAAGTAAGAATGCTTTCAAAAATATATACTTTGTTTATTGATTTACAAAATGCAAAGCAAGCAAACAGAAGAAAAATTTTAATTAAATCAATATTTGGTGTTACTATCCTTTGTGCAAGTTTAAGAATTGATGCTGGTTTGAAGCCAAAGTCAGGGGTTTTGTAGGATTAGAGTCAGTTTCATGATTAACAATTTACACCAAGTAGGTGTTGATCGTCAATTTAATATGTAGGTTGACACAGTCATTAACTGAAACAAACAGCTGTGTAGTAGGCTTAAAACTGGGTGAGGAATAGCCAAATTCTATTATAGTGAGGTTGTGGAAATAGTTTCATGTCGCAGGTTACACTCTATGGCAAGACTGAGCACAGCAAAAGGATACAGTTGCAAGAAAAAGTATGTGAACCCCTTGGGATTACGTGGAGTTTTTGCATGAATTGGGCATAAAATGTGCTCTGAACATCATCTAGAAGAACACAGTCTGCTGAACATAATACTACACAAACATTAGATGTTGCCATGGTTTAATTGCACATAACATGTAAACATTCACAGTGCAGGGAGGAAAAAGTATGTGAAACTTTGGACTTAATGACTGGTTGACCCTCCTTTGGCAGTAATAACCTCAACCAAACATTTCCTGTAGTTGCAGATCAGACCTGCACAACGATCTGGAGTAATTTTGGACCACTCCTCTTCACAAAACTGTTTCAGTGTAGCAATATTCTTGGGATGTCTGGTGTGAATCGCTCTCTTAAGGTCATGCCACAGCATTTCAATCGGGTTGAGGTCAGGACTCTGACGGGGCCACTCTAGAAGGCGTATTCTGTGATGTTGCAGTCATTGTTTTGTTGAATTACTTGTATGCTTTGGGTCATTGTCCTGTTGCATCACTCATCCTCTGCGGAGCTTCAGTTGGCGGACAGAGGTCGTACGTTTTCCTGCAAAATGTCTTGATAAACTCTGGAATTCATTTTCCCATCAATGACAACAATCCGTCCAGGCCCTGAGGCAGCAAAGCAGCCCCAAACTATGATGCTCCCTCCGCCATGTTTTACAGTGGGGATGAGGTTTTGATGTTGGTGTGCTGTGCTTTTGTTTCTCCACACAGTGTTGTGTGTTCTTCTCAAACAACTCAATCTTGGT